TGAGGCCAATAGCAATGATGAAGAAATTTCTGACATCCTCAGTGACAATATTTTTAGGGCCAAAAAATAAAACTCTGTATATTGGATCTGTTGAATGGAGAAAGGCCTGCTTCCCCCCCACCCCCAATGAGACGCCTTCCACGATAATAGGAGAGGAGAGCCAGCCTGCAGACAGCAATCACAAGGCAGAATGTAGCTGAGAGAAGGGGTACGGGGGTTGGGAGAAGGCATGGGACGGGCTCCCAGCAGCGGCTGCTCGGATTTGCCATTTGAGAGAGGGAGGGGGAGAACGCGAGTATGTGTATCCCTTCTTCCTTCAGCTCAACACTCTCGCTGGCATTCTGGCCAGACGAGAGGGACTGCAGAGGGTCTAGGGCAGCGAGTCATTCAATGGGAAAGTTGCCTCTTGGAAGGAATGACCCGGCTTGGCTCCCGCTTCGTCTCTCCTGCCTCTTCGCTTCTCCGTTCGGTCGTTGAAAGCGGGAGCCAAAAAAAAGTGAAAAGTGCCAGGCAATGGGTGAGCGCCGCACATTCCTAGAAATAGATGAGGAGAGACTGGTGTATACAGTACACATATCATGGAAGTGAGTATACCTTTTCACATTTTGTAAATATTTAAGTATATCTTTACTTAAGGGGTGAGTCTTTCCATTCTTTTTTCAAAACCTGTCAATTCAGTTAGAAGTGTTTCTAACATACTGCCCATTTGCTCAAATAATAGTGAAGGAAATCTGGCATAACTTCTCTTTTTGCAGGTTGCTCTAGTGAATCTTTCCTCTCCTCCATTCTGGTTGCTATTATTTGGTCACTAGTATCAAGTGTATTCTGGTAATAAACTAACAAGTATATTGAGTTTGTCATAAAATATGTAATCTACTTCACCTTTTCAAATAAATACATTGTTTAGGTATGCATTATGATACTCCTTTTATGTAACAACCGTAATTTTTCATGTGATAGTTACTGTAGAAATTATTTCCTCACTATTTCCATGTGTGGAATTCATTTCATCTTTTAAACATTTGATTGTAAGCGGTATGTATATCTACAAATATTACTATCTAAAAATCAAATGACATTCTAGACATTTACATTCTAGAAATGTCAAGATGTGAAAATTGGAAATATCTTTAATTGTAAAATCAATATTTTTCTGGAAACTAGAGTGCAGTGTAAATTTCCCCCCACAGATGAACTAGGAACATTTCTGGCCTACTGTCTGTGGCCTACACTCACCTGAAACAACAACAATCATTGCCACAAATTGGGACTTGTAAGGATAGTACATGACATCCCATTACAGCGATGGGTCTACTATATGTTCCTCTCTTTACAGGTGAATATTTGTTTATTAAATTTACTGTATATGCCACCCATTTCACTGTCAAGAAAATATAACCAAAGCAGTATCTTAGCAAAGCCCAAATATGTGGCTCCATAAAACTAGCTGATGCAGGACAATCTAGAAACTGCTGCTAGTGGAACTCAGATCACTCAAAGCAGGGGTCCCCAACCAGAGGTGACATTCAGCAGGTTCTGACCAGTTCTGGAGAACCGGTAGCGGAAATTTTGAGTAGTTTGAAGAACCGGTAAATACCACCTCTGGCTGGCCCCACTCCATCTATTCTCTGCCTTTCGAGTCCCAGCTGATCGGGAGGGAATGGGGATTTTGCAGTATCCTTCCCCTGCCACGCCCACCAAGCCATGCCCACTAAGCCATGCCCACAGAACCGGTAGTAAAAAAATTAGAATCCCACCACTGTCCCCAACACCCTGGGCAGCGGCCCACTACCAGGCTGTCAACTGTTCAGAACCGGGCTGCAGAAATGGTAACACACACGCACATCCCCACTTGGATGAGCGACATACGTGTGTGCCTGCTCCTCACGCAAATGGGGCTGTGCATGTGGGCATACTTGCCTACTGCTCACACAGAACCATCCCCTCTCCCCGAACAGTCTGCAAAGCTGGAAAAATTGGGGAACTCTGGCTTTAAAACTTGACTGTGCTTATTTTATTGTGTGTGAAATTGAAGAGGGTATTTTAAAAGGGTGCTAAGAAATGCTGGCTATTTTAAAGGATGCTCTGGCATATTGCTGTGTGAAAAGCTTTACCCATTCACAAAATAGCTTCCATCAATTTATGGGAATGCAGAGTTCTTGCAAGTTCCTCTAACCTGCTTTTATGAGTTGCTTATACTATTTATCTTTTCCTCTCAAAATCGTTGTTGCATTTAAACTTCATTTATTTCCCAGGAAGACTTAGGCAGCCTCAAAGTATTCTAAAAATGAAGTTAATGTTAAATGTTGCAACTTTCCTTGCAGAATACCACTTTTATTTAAATCTTACTTAGCAGTAAATAGTAACAATAATTCATTTATAAATGCATGGGTTAGGTAGGTTAACTCATCAGGCTACCAAGGAAAATAGTTTTAGAGAAGGTTGAAATTTTTGATGCTGTTACCTCCAAACTCTGGCACTAGATTTTGGGGTGGAGCTGGAGCTGATAAGAATACTGTGAGAAGTTTTATATCAAAAAAAATTTTTTTCTTTATACTGTTTACATCTTCCATTAGAACATTAACAGAATCCACAACAATCTGAGAATCAGCATCTCCACTAGATAGAGTAAAACCTCCATGGTTGACCACCTAAGTTGATCTAATTTTTGTAGATCAGATGTATAGCCTATATACACAATAGAAAACCAACCACTCTCTATGTCCTAAAGGTGCTCTTTTCAAGCAACTGGACTTTCTGGTTTTCCTTTGAAGACATTTCACTTCTCATCCAAGAAGCTTCTTCAGCTCTGATTGGATGATGGGGAATGGATTTATACTCCTTGCAGACAGCTGGTCATTTGCATTCTTTTAGAGGGTCATTGAGGCCCCTTGGAGGTTTCTCTTGTGTCCTCAGAGTCACCTAAGTGGTGCATATGAGTGTGGAGCCTACTTGGAACTGCTGAAAGGACCGTGTTGTAGACTGGAGATAGATGACATCATATCCCTCCCTCTCTGTGGAGAGGGCTGTTCAATTTTGACATAGATGGCCTCTTTGACCCCTTTTTCAAACCACTGGTCCAAAATGTGTATCTGCAAGGATACTGTCAGAGATGAAGAAGCTTCTTGGATGAGAATCGAAACGTCTTCAAAGGAAAACCAGAAAGTCCTGTTGCCTCCTGAAAAAGCAGCTTTGGGATAACCAGGACCTGGAGAAGCTCCATGGACATTTAATCACTCTCTATATTGACCACCTTTGTAAGTTGTATCTTGACCACCTGGATACCCAAGGTATTAATTTACTCTCCATAACTTGACCAGTTGAGGCCAGTCTGCACCAAGGGCAAGAAAAGTGAAATGCAGACTTGGTAATAATGAATTTGTTTCAAGAAGAATATCAAGGAATGCAATACTTTGATTCAGCAGTTTTAACAGTAATTATGGATTCATTTCGCAATACAAATTGCACAAAGACTTTTCTTTTCCTTTTCTAGGATCCATAAAACTAGCCAACGGCAAAATGAAACAATGACACACACAACAACAAACTTTTGCAAGCCGTTTTACTCATTTTATCTTGCAGCAGCCATCAAAGCAAAGCACCAACAGCAGGGTGTGATTGACAATGGAGAAAGAAAGAAAAAAGAAAGAGAGAGGGGAGAGGGAAGGAAAGAAGAAAAAGAAAGAAAGCGGAGAGAAGGAAAGATAGAAAGAAAGATAGAGAGGGGGTGAGGAAAGGAAGGAGAGAAAGAAAGAAGAAAATAAAGGGGAGAGAGGGAAGGAAGGCGAGAGGGAGAAAGATATAAAGAGGGGGAAGGAAGGAGGGGGAGAGAAGGAAGAAAAGAAAGATAGAAAGGAGGAAAGGGGAGAGAGGGAAATAAAAAAAGGAGGGAAAGAACAAAAAAGAAAGAGGTGCAGGGAAGGAACGAAACAGAAAGAAAGAGGAGAGAAGGGAAGAAAGCAAGAAATATAGAAAGAGAGGGGGCGAGGGAAGGAAGGAAGGAAAGAAAGAGGGGGAGAGAAGGAATGAGAAAGAAAGAAAAGAAAAAAGAGATGGAGAGGAAAGAAAGGAGAGAGAGAAGGAAGGAAAGAAAGAAAGGAAGGAAGGAAGGAAGGAAGGTTTTAAAGTACAATAGACAATGTGGAGGTGCAATGGGGAAGCAGCCGGGGGGGGGGGAGGTACCAGTTCTTTCTATGCGTGGTTTGGGCAAAGAGCCCCTTCCTCCCCCTATTTTTTTCTTTTTTTCTCTATGCAAGTTGAGTTCTGGTGTCGGGAAGCGATACCCAGAAATGTTCAGGATGAGAACCTGCAGAGAGAGGGTAGACAAAGGGGAGATTTACAAAGGAAAGGGGGGGGGGACTTCCATGAATGAAGTTAACGAAGCGGCCTCAGCTTCCTTCAAAGAAACGACGGGGGGGGGCAAAAATGGAAGCTGGGGAGGGGGGGCAGCCCAGCTCCGCGGTGATTATTCAAACCAAAACCGCGCATGCCCTTCAAAGGGAATCCCCCCTCCCCAACAGGCATACAACTTTCCCCACCGCAGACCTCCGAAAGCAACCCAATTGGACGATAAAACTATCCAACCGGAACACACATCGCCATGAGCGACGCCGATGGCGACCAATTCGGACTCGGCAAAAAGGAAGGCGCGAGGCGGGTGGGTAGGCGGGGTGGGTGGGTGGAAACGGAACTTTACGACCAGGCCAAACGCGACTTTCCGAATCGCCCCATCCCTCCTGCCCAGGGATTGACGGCCCGGCTCAGCTAATCGCGCGAAACCCGGGAGGCGGCCCAGCCTATCCGGAGGAGGCAGAGGTGGGGCGTGGCCTGCCTCGACCTTGCCGTAAGAACCCCGCGGTCTCGCGCACTCTTTCTCTCGCTCGCTCACTCGCTGCTTCAGCCGACGTCGCTTTTGCTTTGCCGGATCCGCCAAGATGTCGCTCTCCCACAAGCTCACCCTCGATAAAGTCGACGTGAAGGGCAAGCGCGTCGTCATGAGGTGACGCTCGAGCGGGGATTGTAGGGGGGGAGCGGGCTGCCCTGCGATGGGTTAGGAGTTTCTGGGGGGATCGCCGAGCCTGAAGAGACCCCCCCTCGGGGGGGAGGAAGGGGCTCTTTGCCCAAACCACACATGGTAAGGGGTCTCCAGCCTTGGCCCCTTTAAGACTTGTGGACTTGTTGAAGTCCAAAAGTCTTAAAGGGGCCAAGGCTGGAGACCCCTGCGCTATAAGGAATACAATAAAACCATAAACCCTTTTCGTACAATACGGCAGATTAACGGCAAGAGTTTTGCAACCGGCGCCTCCCGAATAAATATAACGGACATAGCGTGGAGGGAACCTTTCCTCATAGGGACGCGGTAGCTCTGGCTAAGAGAGATTGTCGATCGGGAAGATTGGCATTTAAGCGGTTCCAACCCTAGCGCCGCGTAATGGAGTGAACTCCCGTTACTTGTCCCAGCTTCTGCCAACCTAGCAGTTCGAAAGCATGTAAAAATGCTCTTCGGCTTTGAAAGGGAGATGAGTATCGCCCCCTAGAGTCAGGAACGACTAGCACCTATGTGTGCGGGGACCTCATAAATAAGCCCGCATAAGGGTGGTAAAAGAAGAAACCAGACTTTCCATGCTTAGGATGTGGGGGCTTGGGGGGGGGGGAGGAAGCACTTAATTCCGGTCTTGATTGATGTGCAAGAGTCTCAGTGCCAGAACTGGGGAAGGTCTTTGCAAATGGGAAAGGGTAATCATCTCTTGCCATAGACTTGATTTAATTGATGTATATAGATGGTGATATATAGGTAATCTAACAGCTTGGTTTGGACAAAACTCAACAGCATTTTTTCATGCAGCTGTTGATAAAAATTGGATCCAATGACAGATATGGCATAAGAAGAAGATAGGAGATAATGGTCCATCTGCCATTGAAAATTGAGGGTCTTGTTAGCAAAATAAGACTGAGACAAAGAACTAACTGCTTAAATCTGGGCCTGAAAAGGAAGCCAACAACTATTGACAACTGCAGTTTCGTGTGGCATGGAGATGTTGTTTTAAATAGTTTTAAGAGTAAGATCTTAAAATAGATGAAACATTTGCTCAAGGTCATTGAGGACTAGCTAGGATTTTGCATTCTACCATTATTCTCTTGAAGCCATTTCCCTACTCAAGATGTTTTGTCTTTTAGGTAAAGAGAGAAAGGCCCTCTGAATTTACAGCCAGTATTTTTCCTTGCCTTGAGGGCTGAATGTTTGTCCTGTTGCATGCTACATATAAAATGGATACGCTGCCAGATTTTGCAGTATCACTGCCAAAATCCCTCATTGAGCATGCAAGCTCTGCCTGCTAGGAGTTGCAGTTTAACCACATCCGAGCAACAACCCCTTCTAATGCATTGCTGAAAGTGGGATGGATGGCGGGAGTTTTATCATAAAATCTGCAAGTCAAAATCTGCAAGCTTCATTCTGGAACATGATTTAATTATCCTCAGTAGAGATCAGAAATTAACCTCCAATGATTCATTTCCTGTCTTTCAAAAACATTTTGTCCTAGGGACAATGTGCATTGACATAATTCATTGATTCATTTTTTTCTGTCTCAAAATTATTTGTACTAATGCCCAGTGTTTGATGACTTGCAATCTGAGTCAAAGTCCTTCCACCTGAAAAGAAAAGAAAAGAAAAGGAGAGTGTACTTCCCCTGTTCAGACAGAGTTTGAGAATCTGATTCACTAGGTTTCCCATTTCAGATTTCTGATCCAATTGAGTAATGGAGACTAGATTCACATGGCAGAGGTCAACACCTCTTCGTTTAGCACCTTCTCCATCTCACACTTACATTTATAGCCTAATTGCTATCCAATTAATATTTAATTTTATTTGAATTTTTTGCCTTTTCTACATGCTTAAGTTGTCCCCATCAAATAATTATTTTTGTTTCAGTTTCCAATTTTTATTTAACTACTATATTAAATAGTGTTTACATGCTAGAGTTAATTGTGAAAAAAGGTCTGTTCCTTCATTTGACTCTTTGAAAATATGGGGATTGTTATTTTGAGATCATATATTCAGAGCCAAGACATCTCCTGAAATTGATTTTTTCAATTGCTCAAGACAAAATTCAACTTTGCAACCTGTGTCTTTGTGCTTATATTGTTCAACATAATTTCCTGTTGCTTCCACTTTGAGGCAGAAAGCATGGCTTTGTAAAACTGGACTCTGATGCTCCTTCAAGCAGTGTAGAGCAGGGACAACATTCAGTTCTAGCTAAGACTGAAGTAACAAATGGCCTTTAAAAGCTGGCCAGTAGGTCTGATTCACATATTTACCCCCTATTTTATGTATCAAAAGACTGGTAGTGTGGATGGGAGGCACAGAAAATAGAAGTTTAAGCACTTAGCCAAGAAAACTAGAGTTTGCAACAGAAATGCAGATATAATGGTACATTAAACTCTGACCATAACAATTTACCTGAAATCCAAAACCTGTTCTTTATTTTAAAACATTTTTACTCTACTTATAGTACCAAAGGTGCTTTTTCAAGAGGCAGCTGGTTCCACCGAAGAGCTGAAGAAGCTTCTAGGATGAGAAGAGAAACATCTTCAAAGAAAAACCAGAAAGTCCAGTTGCCTCTTGAAAAAGCACCTTTGGGACAACCATGACCTGGACAATTGAGAATCTCCATAGACATTTACTCTACTGATAGTTTTCTTAATTAGTGTATTAGGTATCTAGGAATGACACCATTAGCATGATGCAATATCTGGTTATTTTGTACCCAAATATAATCTGATGTATGCCCTTTAAAAAAATCTTGTAGAATTTTATTATTACCAATGCATTGCTTTAATCTGCTTATAATTTTAGTTTATCTTTTTCTTTTAAGGGTTGATTTCAATGTACCAATGAAGAACAACCAAATAACCAACAACCAAAGGTAAGTGGGGCTTTTTTATTCTTTTTAAAAGAGTTCTGGGTAGTTCTGTTTATTCCAATGGATTGCAAGTCAATATGAGACCATAGGGGTTTTTTATTTTAGTTTTAAGATGAGTTTCAAGAAGAGACTGGACTGCCATCTGTCAGCAATGGTCTAGGGTCTCCTTCTTGGGCTGGGGGTTGGACTAGATGACCTACAAGATCCCTTCCAACTCTGTTAATCTGTTAAAAAGATCAATAGTAATATCTCCAAATCAGGCTTTCTAATATTTTGCTGGTTTGTTTGTTCTGTCAAGTTTGTCAGACTTGACGACAATTGATCTGATTTCATATGAACTTCTACTTGTTTCCGGCTAACTTTTAAGCATAAAGATGCATTCTAAATTCCAATTTAGAATTTCCAATTCTACTTTCCTTTCCTTTTAATATTATGTATGCTGTGTTGTGCATCTTTCTGTTAGGCTGACAAAAGAAGACGAGGCAAGGTGGCTCCAAATATGTGTACAAAATTTCTCCCGAAAGAGCATCTTTCTTTTGGCTTAATGAGTTGAATCCTACCAGTGGTGCAGGTTCAAAATTTAGGGTGGTTGGATGCAAAACAAAGTTTTGCTTTTAAGTGATAACGATAAAGGTTCCCCTCTCACATATGTGCTAGTCATTCCTGATTCTAGGGGGTGATGCTCATCTTTGTTTCAAAGCCAAAGAGCCAGCACTTTTCAAAGACGTCTCTGTGGTCATGTGGCTGACATGACTCAACTCTGAAAGCGCACAGAACACTGTTCCCTTCCCACCAAAGGTGGTCCCTGTTTTTCTACTTGCATTTTTTTTACATATGCTTTCGAACTGTTAGGTTGACAAAAGCTGGGACAACTAATGGGAACTCACTCCGTTACACGGCACTAGGGATTTGAACCACCGAATTGCCGACGTTTCTGATTGACAAGCTCAACGTCTTAGCCACTGAGCCACCACGTCCCTCTTTTAAGTGATAGGAAATCTTTATTTATTGAGCAATAATTTTTAAGCAATCGTTTGAAAATGTCTTTTTGTAGCATTACAGTCACAAGAATAAATAGTCAAGTTGCACAAGAGCTCCTCTTTTGTATATCAAATGACTATGATAATGTTTATAGGATCAAAATGGTTTGCGTGTGGCAGGATTACTGAAACTTCTGAATTAGATAGTACTGATCAAAGTCCATCCAGTAGTTCAAGATGTACAAATTAGTGAGCAGAAGAAGATTCAATAGGTAGGATTTTGATGGCAAGAGACCATGTGATGGTATAATGTATAGCACAAATTGGGGGCCCTTAGATGTTTTGGTTTATACAGGTAGTCTTCGACTTACAACCATTCATTTAATGACCAAACTTACAACGGCATTAAAAAAGGTGACATGGCTGTTTTTCACACTTAACGACCATTGCATTTTTCCTATGGTCGTGTGATCAAAAATCTGATGCCTCGCAGCTGGCTCGTATTGGTGACACTTGCTATGTCCTGGGGTCACACGGTCACCTTTTGTGACCTGATGAGCAAAGTCAGTGGGGAAGCCAGATTCACTTAACAACCGTGTTACTAACTTAGCAACTGCAGTGATTCACAGTCACAGTGGCAAGAAAGTTGTAAAAATTCACTTAACAACTGTCTTGCTTAGCAGTGGAAATTTTGGGCTCAATTGTGGTTGTAAATTGAGGCTTGCCTGTAATTTGGTTACTGACAGGTTGGCATGTTGGCTGTTACTTATGGGACTACAGTCCTAAGCGTTTGTAAGCTTCGTTGTCTATTCATGACCCAAAGCAATAGCACTTAACTTATATACCGCTTCACAGTGCTTTGCAGCTCTCTTTAAGCAGTTTACAGAGTCAGCCTCTTGACCCTGACAATTTGGGTCCTCATTTTACCCACCTCAGAAGGATGTGAGGCTGAGTCAACCTTGAGCCTGGGGAGACTCGAACTGCCAAATTGCAGTCAGCAGTAGTAGTATGCAGTACTGCACTCTAACCACTGCGCCCCCGTGGCTCACGGCCACAGACTCTTATTTGTCAGATCCCTAAAAGTGATACTGCCATTATTTGGGAGGAGAGGGGCCTTGGAGTCAATTTATCAGCAGTGCCTGTGACAACTGAGATTTTACAACTGGTTTCCTGGCGCCAAAGCGCCTTGAGATCCCCTCACCTTTTGGGGAATGTTTATGATGGCCATGTGGGACAGTTCACTTTAATGTCTAACGGAAGATAACCATGGGAATGTATGATTATCCGGTTCTCAGTGCAGTTGGTAAAGGAAACATCTTCACACGTGTATTGGCTAAAATCTGCATTCTGACTTATGGGGGGGGGTCTCTACTGCTTAAATTTTATTTAGACGTTGCTTTGAACTTAATGGCTTCCCTTCTACTTAATAAAAGCTTCCTTTTGAAATACTCTATTTCAAGAGTCTTTACTTTCTTAAGCTAGGAGAGGCAATCCTTACACTTATATTGCAGACAGAGCCAATAGGTCATTCTGCATTAACCTACCTACACAGCAGGAGAGCTTCCCTTCATAGGTGCTTCTAATGAAGATTGTAAATTAAACTTGCCAGTTTTCTTATGATTTCATAGAATCAAGGCAGCGATCCCAAGCATCAAGCATTGTCTGGACAATGGTGCCAAATCTGTAGTATTGATGAGTCATCTGGGCCGGCCCGACGGAGTTCCAATGCCTGATAAATTTTCTTTGGAGCCAGTAGTAGCTGAACTCAAATCACTGCTTGGCAGGTAAGATATCAAGGCTGTGATAGAAATGCTATAAAAATATTTTCAGTTTCAAAAACTGAATCTAAATCTTCTCTAGGGACATCATATTCCTGAAAGACTGTGTGGGATCAGAGGTAGAGTCAGCTTGTGCCAGTCCTGCAGATGGCTCCGTAATTCTCTTGGAAAACCTCCGATTCCATGTAGAAGAAGAAGGAAAAGGGAAGGATCTTTCAGGCAATAAGGTGAGATTGACAGCCGCAAGTGTCACATTGTGTGCCTCTCAAAGAAATTAGAAAGGTAATTAAGCCATGTTTGATAATCTCTTAATAATACTTCATGCTTTCTGATGTTAATGTAACAGGAAGAATAACTAATTTTCTCTGCAGCACAGTTCTAAGACAGCTTTCTCAGTTGTGAAAGTTGTGTCCTCCTTAGGACTTTGGGGAGGATGAGAGGAGAGGATCTGTGCACTGTTAGATTTCCCCTTATAGACTTGTTTTGTGCACAGTTGTAGGGCCCTGTTTCCACATGTCAGTAACATAAAATACTCAACATTCCTGGGAAAGGACCATGGGGTGAGCATGCACTGTGGAACAACCCAGTTTGAAAGCATCAATACACTTTCAAGAGAGGGTTCTATCACTATTTATCTTTTCCAGAAAGGAAGCTGCTGTTTGGCATTACAACTTAAGGGTACATAGGGCTCTTCAAGCAATGCTTCCCCACGTCCACCAGACTTTTTCAGTTGGAAACATCAGGGCAGTATGGTGTTTGTTGGTTCATTCGTTTACAGCTGGCTCTTTCCTTGTTCCTTTACATGGAAAAAACCCCAAGCGCAATGGAGGTATTGATCGAGTGATAACAGATCCCACCTCTCACCCCCCACCCCCCCGCTATACACACACTCAGCCCCCGCCCTCCCCAGGTTTCCTTGGTTTTAAGGTTTGATTTTAACATTTTATGTTTTAACTATATGTAACAGTAAGCCGGCCAGAATTAACCTATGATAAGATGTGTGGCCAATGCATTTTACAAATTAAATAAGCTTATTTGGATGAAATTATAGTATTCTGGCTTTAAAAGAGATGTAATTTGGATTAAAGCGAAGAAAGGAGGAGGAGTCTAAATTAAAAGTAACTGCAAGAAAAGTTTGACAAAATGCTCTATTATCTGATGAAGTTTTCATATATACTGTGCTAAGAGAAACCTTTGACTAGGATCCACATATTTTTCAGACAGCCATGTGGTGTCCGTGCTATCTTGCACCTCTGACATTTTCTTGAAGGTCATTGAGAGAACTTGGTCCCAGTCAGTTTCTTTTCTTAGCATCTCTGACCCCATTAAGCCTCAAGTTCGCCTCCGTCTTGTACTATTTTGAGTTTAAAATACTGTTATACAGTATGATGCCCTTTTGCAGGCTGGTGGAGACTACCCATATAGTGCTGTAAAAACATGTGCAAATGAACTTCTGAAGGCCACCTTAATTCCCACTTGAACTTCTTCCTCTATCCTATTGCTTGTTCTTTCATATGAAGTGGTTCTTTCACCTGATCCTTTGCTGTGTCCTTTCTCCTTCAGTTTTGGTTTCAAAGCTCTGTTAGACATCAGCTTCAGAGGCGATGTTGTTTAAAGCACCATGCACATTGTTGAGCCTGAGTAATACTCTTTTTTTTTTTTTAAATGAAATTTTTTATTCATTTTCACATTCCATTTTACAGTCACTTATATACTG